ACCTGCAAGGTTATTCTGTGCCATGATCCCTTTGTTGTTTTGTTTCCATTTGTCCACTTTGGCTATGAATATTCCTTAAGGCTGGTTGTTCTGCTCTTTCTCTAAATCAGGATGATAACTGTTGTCTGCAGATTGTTTGGAAACATGGAGGGGGTTGGAATTGGTCACAATGACTGGGTTTCAGAGACTAGTATGAAGTTAGTATCAACTCTTCTGTTATATGGTCCAGGCCCTTGAGCTACAAAGATGAGAAAGTGATAATTTCCTGTAGTGTACTCTTCTGGATGGAGAGAATAAGGATGGTCTGCTTGGGGCAGAGTAAAGGGGATCTGTGGGTCTAACTTAGGAGGTTGGCAAGCCAGTATCTAAATAGGGCTTTCAAAAATCTTAGCTTGACAGCAACTTTTTTAAAAACTTGTTAATGGAAAGTTTTAAACACTTAAAAGTAGAAGGAGGGGCTTCCCTGGTGGCGCAGTGGTTGAGAGTCCGCCTGCCGATGCAGGGGACACAGGTTCGTGCCCCAGTCCGGGAAGATCCCACATGCTGTGGAGTGGCTGGGCCCGTGAGCCATGGCCGCTGAGCCTGCGCGTCCGGAGCCTGTGCTCCGCAACGGGAGAGGCCACAATAGTGAGAAGCCCGCGTACCGCAAAAAAAAAAAAATAGAAGGAAGAGAAAGTTTGAGAGAGACTTAAGATCCTAGTCTCTTCCAAATCAATCTGGTAATTTGACTTCCTGCTCACTTTCTTACAGAAAGGAAATGCCATCTATTTCAGTTTCCTGGGGCCCTTGTAACACAGACTTGTTGGCTTCAAACAACAGAAACTTAATCTCTCAGTTCTGGATGCCAAACATCCTTGGTTTCTTTGTGTTACAGCTGCATCACTCTAGTGTCTCGCCTCTTATCACATGCCTTCTTCCCTCTGTGTCTGTGTCCTCTCCTTTGATAAAAACACCAGTCATTGGATTTAATCCAGTATGACCTCATTTTAACAAACTATATTTCAAAATAAAGTAACGTTTTGAGGTTCTGGATGGACATATATTTGGTGGGACACTGTTCAACCCAGCGCACAGTCCTTCACTATCCAAGTCAATTTGGCTTGTGAATTCAGGTGGCAAGGAGTACCAGTGGTGGTGGTGATATGATGCCACTGATTTAAGTGTTTGTTTATTTTGATCGTGCAGTGACCTGCCCGAAGGATCATGACCCGTCGCCCTTAGACATCGTGAGCAACTGACATTCCTACCCCTTAATCAACCCTATTAATTCAAAATACCCTAATCTTGCTGCCTTGGTGCTACATCAGCTCTGAGGGGTATCAGCTTCATTCTCCACGATGCAGAAATGAGGAGGTGCCTTTCTTGGATGCTGCTATATTGTCTGAACAGCAGCATTTACACTATGTCCGTATGCTGGGCAAGTGGGGAAAAAAGATTCTGCTTTCAAGGGGTATATGCCCCAAGTTCTCTGGTCCAGCCCTGCCTCTGAACAAAACTTTTTCTCTTTTAATGATTAGGCTTTGTATCTGGAAAAGTATAAGGCATTAGGTTATTTTAGGACCTACCTTTCTGTGCTTTTTGAATCATGGGTCTATAAAGGAAACCCAAAAAATCAGACTCATCCGACTCTGAAACCTTTCCTCAGGGTGTGGGGCGAAGATATGCTCATGTGGTGTTGAGGAAAGCAGACATCGACCTCACCAAGAGGGCAGGAGAGCTCACTGAGGATGAGGTGAGGACAAGGAAGGGGGGCTGGGGAGGGGGCGGGGAGACCATCTGGACCTGACCCTTGTCCTGCCTGCCAGGTGGAACGTGTGATCACCATTATGCAGAATCCACGCCAATACAAGATCCCAGACTGGTTCTTAAACAGACAGAAGGACGTGAAGGATGGAAAATACAGCCAGGTGTGTATTAAGATGGGGGAGATTGGAGAAAAGCAGGGTGTCCAGTTAGAATTGGTCATAGGCCAGGGGGTAGAACAAGCATACCTCACCATCTCCTCTGTATCCAGGTCCTGGCCAACGGTCTGGACAACAAGCTCCGTGAAGACCTGGAGCGACTGAAGAAGATTAGGGCCCACCGAGGGCTCCGCCACTTCTGGGGGTGAGTGGGGCGGGGGTTCATCTCTGCCTGTCCCTAGACTCCCAGGGAATTCTCATGCTCTTTTTCCAGACGTTTGTATGGTGTAAGACCTGTAACCCTTCTCTTTTCTCACCTGCAGACTTCGTGTACGAGGCCAGCACACCAAGACCACAGGCCGCCGTGGCCGCACCGTGGGTGTGTCCAAGAAGAAATAAATTTGTGGGCGTTGTCTGTTAATAAATAGTTTATACAGTTATGGCTTCCTTCTTTATGGTTCTTTGCATTTTTCTGGAGACACTAATAGGGAACATGTTCTCACACTGGGGCCTGTTGGTCATTTTCCCTCCTGCCTGATTTCCCCACTCAGCTGCCCAGACAGTGTCCTTGGTCTTGGTTAAAGCTATGCTGTTGCCACTCCCCACTGCGGGAAGCAACATTTTACTTAGTGGTGCCCTGCTCTCCAGGTGGGTGGGAGAAGGGGCAACCAACACGCTCATCCTCGAGGAGGAGCCCTCACGATTTTCAAGACTAGGCTCCCTATTGTCTTGCAGGGTGTTGAGGCTTGTGTAGGTAGTTGAGCCTAGCCGGTTGCCGCTTAGGCGAGTATTTCCAGGTCTTTACCACCCTAGGTTTCTGAGAGTTGGGGGGAGATGCTGATTTTGGTGACCCGGAAGAGCTGAGCGGCAGGGGGGGGTGGGGCGCATTGTTGCCAGGGAGCCGCTGCCGTTCCGGCTGCACAGCGTTCGCCCGCTGTGCCCGAGGCCCGCGGGTCCAATTCCATTCTTGCCCAGTTTCGGGGAAGACCCCACTTGTACACCACAGTCCCCTCTGCATTCTGCTTGCCGCGCGGCTGCGAAGCTTCTGACAGGGTTCCCGGGGGCGCGCACGCCACGCCCTCCCAGCGAGAGGGGCGGGGCTAGGACGCTTCCGCGGACGGAGGAGGTGACTGTTGAAGCGGAAACCCGCCGGCCATGGAGGCAGGCCTCGGCGGCCGAGCCGACAAGGTAACCTCCCTTCAGCTGCAGCCATGGGCCCCGCCGCGCCGCCTCCCGCGCCGGCACCGTAGGGCGCTGGCACAGGCCGTGCCCTCCGCCCGCCCCAGCCCTGGCGTGGCCGGTTAGGGACCGAAGTGTCCTAGAGCTGCACTCTCCGCCCTCTAACCGCGTTCCATCTTCCCCTCCAGGTCCCCTCTGACTGCGCCGCACCATGCGCCTCAGCCTCTTCCGGCGCCTTCTCCTGGCCGCCCTGCTGCTCGTGATTGTCTGGACGCTCTTTGGGCCCTCGGGCATCGGGGAGGAGCTGCTGAGCATCTCGCTAGCCTCCCTGCTCCCAGGCCCGGCCTCGCCCGGGCCGCCCCTGACCCTGCCCCGCCTCCTGATCCCCAACGAGGAGGCGTGCGGCGGTCCCGGCCCCCCGCCCTTCCTGCTAATCCTGGTGTGCACGGCCCCGGATAACCTGAACCAGAGAAACGCCATTCGGGCCTCGTGGGGCCGGCTGCGCGAGGCCCGAGGGCTCAGGGTGCAGACTGTCTTTCTGCTGGGAGAACCCAGCTGGGGCTCGCGCGGGAACGACCTGGCGCGGGAGTCAGCGGCCCAGGGGGACATAATGCAGGCGGCTTTCCAGGATTCCTACCGCAACCTCACTCTCAAGACCCTCAGCGGGCTGAACTGGGCCGACAAACACTGCCCCGTGGCCCGCTACATCCTCAAGACTGATGATGATGTGTTCGTCAATGTCCCCGAACTGGTATCAGAGCTGGTCCGGCGAGGAGGCCGCTGGGAGCAATGGGAAAGGGGCATGGGGCCCCCGAGAAAGGCGAAAGTTGGAGATGAAAAGTGGGAAGGAGGCCCCACCTTGACAAGCCAGCCTGTGCCTCTCTTGTACCTGGGCCGTGTGCATTGGCGGGTGCACCCCTCTCGGACACCAGGGGGCAAGCACCAGATATCAGAGAAGCAGTGGCCTCCCACCTGGGGCCCCTTTCCCCCCTATGCCTCAGGCACGGGGTATGTGCTATCGGCTTCTGCTGTGCAGCTCATACTGAAGGTAGCCAGCCGGGCACCCCTTCTGCCACTGGAGGATGTCTTTGTGGGGTTAAGTGCCCGACGAGGAGGCCTCGCCCCAACCCACTGTGTCAAGCTGGCTGGTGCCACCCACTACCCCCTGGATCGGTGCTGCTATGGGAAATTCCTGCTGACATCCCACAAGCTGGACCCCTGGGAGATGCAGGAAGCCTGGAAGCTGGTGGGTGGCTCTGACGGGGAAAGAACCGTACCCTTCTGCTCCTGGCTCCAGGGAGTCCTCGGCATCCTCCGATGCCGGGTAATAGCCTGGCTTCACAGCTGAGAGGGCGTGAGCGCCCAGGAGAGGGGTGAGGAGCTGAGAGTCCAACCAGCACCCTCACCACCTTCTCTCTCCCGGGCCCAAGGCAGGGGCTCTAGCTGGCTGCAACTGATTGGTTGCCCTACACCAGATGCGCAGTCTGTCACTGAAGACTGAGGGATACAGGACACACCTAGGGGGCTGCCTTGCCTGCCAGCCCCAAAGATGGTCATCAGGAAGAGCCGCACATGCTGGGTTGTTCTCTCCAGCCACGGCAGGGGAGGGGCACAAGCCCCTCAATAAACTTGTCTCTTTTCCTCTTCGAGTACAGTGTGGTCCTCACCAGGAGTCTCAGATCACAAACCTGGGGAACCTGAAGGCTACCAGAGCCTGCTGGATGGAAAGGACATCTCCAGGGATGTGGGAGAGGGAGGACAGCCTCTCCCTGGAGGAAGGCCCTAGAGAGCCAGACTAAAGCCACAGCGACCACAAGATAGGGGTGAGGGTAGAAGCAAGACACCACGACCTCTCGCGTCTGAGAGCAGCCCCAGGCCGGACGTGGGAAGGGAACAGGTCCACAGGATGATCCAGACATGTTATCCAAAAACCCACCTTCCTGTTTAATACCAAGCCCTCTCCCCCAACCCCCAGGAGTCAGCTTTCCACCCCCTGTGGGGGAGGGGGCTCAGTGCTCCCTCCTCATTCCAGGGAACAGGTCATTCCCCACAGGTGCTCTTGGGGAGAGAATGTCGTTCCCAGGAACCCCTGGAGCCTGGCTCAGCGCACAAATCTGTCCAGGGCAGATGGCCGGGCCCCCATGGGCTTGGCCTTCTCTTGCTTCTGCGGCTGCTGCTCCAAGCTCTGCCGGACTTTGTCCTGGGGTGGGGAGAAAAGGGGCGAGGTGAGAAGTGGCAGGAGGGCATAGCCCACAGGCCACCCGGCCCATCCCCCAGTGCTCACTTACCCTGTGTTCCTCATCCATGACCTTCCTCTTCCTCTTCACCAGACTTGCTGTGGAGCTGCGGCCCTTCTGCTTTGGCTTTGGCTGGAAGGGAGGCTTGGTGTCGGGATCGTAGCCCTGAGGGAGGGGACAGGAGTGAAACCTGAAACAGACTTCCAAGGCAGGGAACTGCACTTATGAGGACATGGTGGGGACAGGATGTGGAGGTGAGGAAGGCCCGGGCCCTCGGGGGCCTGCTCCGTACCAGCCTCTCAAGCCGTTCCTTCTTTTCCTGCTCCAGAGAGATGACATCAACCTCTGCCAGGGCTCGTGGGTCCAGACAGATGAGCTCTGCAGGTACCTGGGTGTGTCACAGAGGGACAGGAATGCGTAAGGAGCCACAGGAGGGTGACACCAAAGAGATGCCGCTGAAGCCCACTCTTCCCAAGACCCCCGGCCCCAAACCACACGCAGACACTTCCTCACCTTCTCCAGTAGGGCCTTCACCTCCCACTCCTGGCGCTGCTTCCGGCTCCTGTATGGGTTACTCTCCAGGCCATCGAAGTTGGGCTCAGCAGCTCCTGGAGGGAGGAGGGAACACAGAACTGTAAACAGGAACCTACTCCAGCCTGAGCAAGCCCCTGGCCCCCAGCTGTCTCAGGGTCAGGCCCACTCCAGCTTCCATCCCAAGGTCATCCACTTAAGAGCCCCAGCCCTGCCCACTCACCAGGGACCAGCATGCTGGTGATGCCCCCGCTGTGCCCCACTCCCAGCACATCTTCAAAGGGGCAGAACTGAAGGCCATGCACGTGGCCTGAGAGCCGGTGGGTGAGGTAGGGCTGCTCCAGGGACGGGGGGCTGGCCTTGCCCTGTCCTGCCCATATGTTGACCACATCGCCCGTTCCTGCAGCTAGCAGTCCCCGCTGGGAGAAGGCCAGGTGCCCCGCTCCCTGGGGCAGGGTCCGAGTGCTCAGAGGCTGGAACGTCCCTCGCAAGTCAAAGATCTTCAGCTGGTGGTCCAGGCCAGAGGTGGCCATGTGCCTGGGGGCAAGGGGGGCTGGTTAATCCATAGTATGAGCTTACTGGGCAGGCCTGTGGCCAAGTCCAGGCATCAGGGCTGGTTGAGGAGAAGACGACCAATAATGACAGTAATCACTACCATCACACCACACACTCCACACACCTCTTCTCAGTGAGGCGGCTGTACTATTTTCATTTCCCTTTTACAGAGAAGAAACTGAAACTAGCTCAGAGAAAGGAAATCAGGGTGAGTGGTAGAGCTAGAATTCAAGTCAGACCTGTGTCTTTAGTGTCTGTGCTCTTACCCACTCACGACATGTGAATGAAAGGGAGGACACGACAATCTACACCCAGGTGTGAGGTCCCACCACATAGACAGGCAGCCCATCGGTAAGCAGCGGGAAGGGCTCACAGCAGTGGTCAGGGAGGGCTTCGTGGGATTTGAGCCATTCTAGGTAATTCTCAAGAAAGCACAAAAAACAGAGATGCATGTATAAGCAGGTACAAATGAATTAACATCAGAGCATGGAGACAGGGAGATGGAAGCAGGGGTTTGTTTTCCAGGCTGGTGGGAAATATGGCCAGGAAGGCCAGGAGGGGACAAATTGCAGGGGCTCCTGAAGGTCGGACGGGAGATAGTTCCCAAAGCTGCTCTCCGGCAATGACAGGCCACAAGATGGAGACTGCATGGACCTGAAAAAACCTCCTTAGGAAGCAAGGAAGTGATGCACTAGAGGGCCCTGCCCCGCCCCCTTCCCTGGAAGGAGAGTGGGCAAGGTTGGTGACCAAATCCTCTCAAGGAAGCATGTACCATGCAAGTCATTTACTTGCAGAGGTTGGAGTTTCTATTGATGTTCAAGTTGCTCCTCAGGGAGGCTGAAGGGGGACCAGCCAGGCCAGGGGATGTATGTTTGCCAGAAGCCAAAGACCCTCCTCTTAGCCTTGGCTGTGAACCCAGGAGGAAGACACTAAGGAGTTCCTACTTGAGCAGAGACTTGGCCTGTGATGGGGCCGAAGAGAGGCCCAGCTGGATACTTGTCCTGAAAAGACAATCAGGGCCCAGCTCCACCCGAGGAAGAGGCCATCAGCACAAACCAGGACTTATGGAGGGCTCCTGGGACACAGGGTCACACCCTTCACTGAGCCAACAACTGAGGAGCACACGCTGGCTCCTGCCCCAAACACACCCAGCTCTGGGATCCCCTGTGCAAATGCCCACCCAGTGGCCAGATGGGTATCCAAGGCCACACTACCACGCTACTGAACTTGCAAGAAACACTTCAGCTTTGCGAGTCCAATCCAATCCTAATGCAAGCTTCCAGAAAGCCAGCTGAGGACGACAGTCAGCCTCATCTCTGGAGCCCCTGTGGCTGGTCTGAGGCACCCCTGGGGAGGACCAGAGCTAAGCCGGGGTGGGCCTAAGACCAAGGACCAGAGCCGTCTGGTGTCAGGCTGTTGACCAAACCTCCGTGAAGGAACTGATGGAGCCCTGAGCACAGGAGTAGCTGACCCAGGCAGCCTGGGGAAGGCCAAGTCCAGCTCAGGTCCAATGGCCCACAGAAGGCAGAAAACCTCAGGACAGGCCCCCTGACAGTCCTAGCACCAGACTGGCACAGACATGGAGTAAACAGGGCAGAAGCAAACCACTTGTCCACAGAGACACAACTATGGGGGGCCCAGGAGGCGTGAGCATCTGGCAGGCTTTCATAAGTTGGTAGCCAGTGGGCTTTTCTTCTTCCTGATTTTCTATCAAACAACTTAAAAGTAAGGTTATGGAGTTAATACTTAACGTAGAAGATTCCTGAACAATGGTGTAAAAGGAGGAAAGCCATGTGGGAAAGAGTATTCTGACATCAACACCCAGGACACACAAGAAGGAGGAAGAACTGGAGGCTAGAAACTGTGAGACACTGAGAATGGCGAGAAACAGACCTTGGAGGGACCCTGGAGGAGAAAAGCAGTCAGGACTTCACAGCGGTCGTGAGGCGGAAATTCAAAGCAGACCTGCCACCCCCAACCCTTCACATCACCAGCCAGACCTAAAGAGGACAATCGTCTTTGACAAAGATGATGAAATACAGCGCTCCCTACCCACCAGGCACCATGATCAACTCCATAGGCCTTAACTCGCGTTCACGCCTACAACAGTTTTCTAAGCTAAGCCCCAGGCTTGGCAAACTATGGCCCATGAGCCACAAAGCCAGCGCACCACCTATTTCTGTATAGCCCACAACCTGTAAAGAATGGTTTTTATATTTTTAAGTGGTTGGGAAAAAAAATCAAAAGAAATATATTTTGAAACATGAAAATTATTTGAAAACTCCAATGTCAGCATCTACAAATAAAGATTTATTGGGACACAGTCACACTCATTCAGTCACTTATTCTGTGGCTGCTTTTTGTGCTAAGACAGCACGGTATTGTGGTCAAGACTGACACCACGTAAAGCATCTCACTTGAGAGCATTTCAAGTACCAAAATCGCTCTACAGATCGGCAGCTGTAGATAAACATTTGCAATTGGGTTGGATGATTTGGGACACTAACTTTCAACCTCAATTAAACCAAATGTTATTCTCAAAAACAGGAATCCAATTCTTCCCATGAGTAGACCTGTATTACAAAAATATTGTGTTCAATTATTTTTCTAAGTTCATTGCTTAAAAATTTGCAATCCTGTGTTTCCTCTTGTTATTTAAGGACCTACATAAATCACTCAGATATGCCCCATTGCCAACAAGCCTAAAATACTTACTATCAGGCTCTTTACAGAAAAAGTCTTCTGGCCCTTGAGCGAAACACTCATATCCCCAGTCTCAGGGTGAGGACAATGTGTGGTACACCGAGGTCACCTAACATGCTCGCTGACATGGCTGGTCAGGAATAACACCAGGATTTAAACCCAAGCAGCTTGGCTGCAGCGTCTGTGCCCCTCCTCTCCTTTCTGCTGAGCTGTGACACACACACCGCCCCTCACCCCCCAGCACCTCAGGCCCAAACAAGTGACTTACGTGCCTGTAGAATCTATTGCCACAGCCCGGACCCCACCACGGTGACAGAGAATCTTTGCCAGTGGCTCCTTCATGGCTGGGCTCCATAAAGACACAGTCCCTAGGCATCAGAGGAGAACTTTAGTTACTAAAAGGGCGCCGAGGTGATTAACCCTGGGAAAGATGGGGACTCAAGGCCAAGAAGTAACAAGAGAGGGAAGCAGAGGAGCAACCTGAAGGGACCCGTTAAAAGCAAATATAGAAGAAAAGCAGGGGCATTCCCTGGCGGTCCAGTGGTTAATACTCAGAGTTTTCAATGCCAAGGGCCCAGGTTCGATCCCTGGTCGGAGAACTAAGATCCCTCAAGCTGAAAAAAAAAAAAAGAAAAGAAAGGAAAAGTAGGACAGGATGGTCAGGCTCAAAGTTCACCCAGGGACCGACCATTGCTGTGTCCCAGATGGATGACGGCGTTGTAAGGGTTCTGAGTCATGACGTTGAGCCGTCCAGCCCGAGCATTCAGAGCTGCCACAATCTTTCCCACTGACACGTCCAGGTAGGTCAGAAACCCTGTCTCTGACTAAGAGAGAGAGAGAGAAAATGAGTCCTGATTGCCCTCTGTCCTTCCTCTACTGGGGCCCCAGGGGAGGATGGTCAGTCTTCTCAGGGCCTGCCACCCGGTCCCTGTGCTCCGCAGCCACTCACAGCTGTGGCCAGGAGAAAGTGGAAAGGCAGGAACTCAAGCTGCGTGATACGGTCACAGCGGCGGATGCAATGGAGCTCGATGCCCTGGTTGTCGTAAATGTGAAGCCAGCGGTTCTGGGCGACAGCAAGCAGTGCCTCCGAATGCAGAAACCTGGGAGGAGCGGAGTAACAGTACAACGTGAAAGGGAGTCACTGGCTGTCATTCGATCAGGGATGGGCTGTCTCAGCCCCACCGCTGCTAACCGAGGCCACTGACCGGATGTCCCGCACTGCCTCCATGACGTTGATCTCGCACATGAGCTTCTTTGTCACCCAATCAAGGGCGGCCACATGACCCCGGCGCCCTCCAAAAGCCAAGTGTCTGTTGGAGTTGGAGGACAGGCAGGGTGTCAGTTCAGGGGGACACCTGGGCTCAGACGTCTGCCCCACGCCAGCTCCTTCTCTCCAGGTGAGAGCAGAGATGCTGCCATACACGCGCACCCTCACCTGCAAGCAAATCACAAGACCCTCCCCACATCAACAACCCAGACACACACTGGTATGGCTGAGATGAGCAAGACTGAAGTAACTGGAATTCCTTACCTCCCAGTTCGAGAGTAATTAAGCCTGTAGGGTCCAAACTGCCTCAAGTTCAAGTCAAAATGCTAGAAAAAAAAGAAAAGAAAAAAAAGAAATAATTGGCTCCCTTTGGTAATTTTTTCTTCTAGTCCCCACTCCCATCTTACTCTGCATCCATCAACCCATTGACCCTTTTTCCATCCTCAGGCTCACTTTGGCTGCACTTGCAATGTCCACAGCCTCCACGATGTCAGCCTGGCATATCTTTGCCGTGTCCTCCCCATCCTCTCCTTCCAGAAACCTGCAAGTGAGCATCAGGGATGAATTAAGGCTTCCTAATATGAAGTGGGTGTACCAACATAAATATGAGAAATGAGAGCCCCATAAAGCAGGCGCTGGGGAGGCCCACATTAGGGTCCACTCACCCAGGTTCCTCAGCAAGCAGCAGCTCAGAACGAGCAGCTTTGACACTTATTTCCTCTTCTTGAGCTTCAGCCGCCTCAAGTCGGCTCCGGATTTTGGTCTCAGAACGTGGCAGCTACAACATCGTTGGTGGAGAAGGAGTGGGAGAAGAACCAAGGGATATGGGGGTCACAGGAGAGCCACCTGGCCCCGCCTCCATCCAACTCACCCAGACACTCCCTGCCTGCAACCCCTCCCCACTCTCCGACTGGTCCTCACCTTTTTGGATTTGTCAATGCGACAGAACTTCTGAACCACCTCCACAGGGACGGGGGCGGGGCCTGTAAATGGGTCCTGGGCCTGGGGCAAGGAGGAGGCAATTAGGAAACAGGCTCAGGTTGACCCCAACCCTCGTACCCTCAAGCACAAGGCGACTTGCCTTGCCACCCTATCAGGTCCCAGGCTCACCCCAGACAAGCTCCGCTGAGGCCCTGGACTCCTCCGTTCCCGGGGTTTCTTCGGGACCTGGGGCTTCTTGGAGATCCGAGACTTCTTTGTGCTGTGAGTGTTCTTTGGCTTCTGGGGGCGGAACTCTCGATTCCTCTTCCGTTTACGAGGTGGACCTGGAGAGGCTCCGGCAGCAGTCTGAGTGGTCTCTTCCTCCCAGTATCGCCGCGGTTTCTGCCGGCAGATCAGGATACCCGATAGTGCGCTGCCCCTCGCCCCGCCCCTCCAACCCCGCAGCTAAAAACTTCCCTTCCACCCCAAGGAGGTCTCTACCTTCTTCTTGCCCTGAAGTTTGTCTTTCTTGGGCGTGACATTATTGCCCAGCTTGGGGACCGTCTCCATCTAGTCCACTCGAACCACGATACACGTGCAAACTCTTCTCAGCTGTCCCACAATCGGATGGAGAACTCCCGGAAGTTCTCCGACCCTCATCCAATCAGCGCCGCCCCAGGTCTGAAGTCTTCTAGGCGCCATCTTGACTGAGGGCGCGCTCGCCACTGAGGGCCTCCGCGGGCCTTGGCCCCGCCCTCCCGTGCAGCAGCTTATGCCCGAGTAATGAAAGAGAGGCTGTCCGGGGCCAGGACCCAAGCAACCGTGCAGTTTCTTTTACCAGCTTGGTTTCCCCATCTTGCCTAAAACCTTCCAAATCCAGTCTTTTCAGCGGAAAGCCGCTCATTAAACATGTTAGAACTACATTTCCCGGCATGCACCAGACGAAAGCTTCCGGCGCCGTCTTTTCCCGGCATTCGTTGTTTACTTCCGGGTTTACCAATACTGACGGGAGAACGTGAGTGGGTCAGGGATTCGGTTGAGGGGTTTCGGGTCCTGTTTCGCCCGCCACCCCTTGGGGCAGGGGTGAAGCAGATATTCCGGATCCGGAGAGACTGCGGTGTTCCGAGAGGCTGCCTGTCAGGAGAGCTGTCATTTCCGCAGGCCAGAAAAGGGAGCTCGGGTACCTTCCAGAGTGTGAGACCCAGCGCCCCCCTCCCGCTCCCCGCAGGCTTTCGTCCCCGCCATGGCTGAGCTAATCCAGAAGAAGCTACAGGGAGAAGTGGAGAAATATCAACAGCTACAGAAGGGTAAGGGAGCAGGGTCGGTGTGGCCTCGCCCCAATTCCCTCAAAACCCAAAGCCATACCCAGACCATGTGTTCTGCACTGCCCCCACCCCACCCCCCTACTCCCGGCCCCAGCGTGCGGGTCCATCCCCACCTCTATACTCTTCCCATCCACTGACTCGCCGCCCCGTCCTTGGCCTACTTCCTCAATTGCATCTTTTTCTCATCAGGATTTTGGGGGTCGGGTGGTGCATGTGATGTCTCTAATAAAGTCTTTCCTCCCACCCACCAGACTTGAGTAAATCCATGTCAGGGAGGCAGAAACTAGAGGCACAACTAACAGAAAATAATATCGTGAAGGAGGTGAGAGACTGGGATTTGTGGGGTGAGGAGGGATCTGTCCTGGCAGTAATTCTGATCATGTATGTCCCACCCCTCCATCAGGAACTGGCCCTGCTGGATGGATCCAATGTGGTCTTTAAACTTCTGGGTCCCGTGCTGGTCAAACAGGAGCTGGGGGAAGCTCGGGCCACAGTGGGGAAAAGGCTGGACTACATCACGGCTGAGATGTGAGTCTTTATTCCACGCCCCGTGATGTACCTGACGCGTTGGGAAAAAGGTGTTGAGGAACCATCGTAGAGTCGCTCTCCAGAGTATCCCCCAATTGTCCAGTTCCTCCAACCCTTCCCTTGTAACTCCTCTCCTCCATCCTCCCCTTAGATCTCAAGTTTTCCACCAATCTTCTTCTTGCCTTCAGCACCCTCAACAGTAAGTCTCAGTAACTTCTCCTTACTTGCTTTTTTGCCTTTCCTCAGTAAGCGATACGAATCCCAGCTCCGGGACCTAGAGCGGCAGTCAGAGCAACAGAGAGAGACCCTTGCTCAGCTGCAGCAGGAGTTCCAGCGGGCCCAGGCAGCAAAAGCAGGGGCTCCTGGGAAGGTCTGACCCTGTCCTAGGGGCGGGGGAGGGGAGGAAATGAGGCAGCTCTAGGGTCTATACTGTAGCTAATAAAATGTGAAAATACCTGGCCGTTTTCTGACCAGTCGCTTCTGTTATAATTGTCTCCATCCATTCTCCTGGTCCCTTCCACCTTATATGTTTATCACTTGCATTACTCTCTCAGGTCCAGATCCTTGCACTGGAATCTCTGTGTGGCAGAGTAACCCTTCTTTCTTGAGATTAAAATCCGAAATGTCTCAAACCTAATTCTTGCCTGTATGTGGAACCCTTAACTCTTCCATATCTTGGTTGGAAACATGAAAAGGGCATTTACGACACAATAATTTCAGGGAAAGTGAGTTTATTGAAGAACTCACAATTCTCTGACCCCAGAATGAAACATGGTGATCCTCCTTTGCTATGATTTCTTGTCATCCTCAAAATAGCCCTGGCACATTAGTTCTTTTTAGTCTCTTTCTTCCTAGAATTTGAGTGTAGCTTAAACTGATTTCAAGCCCCAGCACATAATGCATTGTAATATGTAAGGTCTCCCAGTTTGTACATTGTCCACAAAGTTGTTCTTCCATTTCTTTGTCCTAAAATTGTTTCTTACAAATTCAGAGTCAGGAGTGTTCTTCATGCTGATCACTTTAATTGGGATGGCTAGTACTTGACATGGGTTTGTAGCAACTGAGGAGAAAAATGTAAGAGCAAATAAAGGGACCAGGGATGGCGAGGTTGCTGGGGAGGAACAAACCATTCTGAGGAAACCGTTTCCACCAAGTCCTTGCTTCCAGCTCTTCATGGATAGAGAACATTGGGCCCCTCTTTTTCCACGGTGTCTACCTTCAGCCAACTCCCCACCCCCACTCCAAGCAGCTAGTTCGTACACACTGCAAGGACGGGAGTAGAGTTCAGGTAGTGTTTTGGTTTATTAGTGTTGTCACAGTGACAGGAACCCCCAGACTAGGAAGAGGAACTCCTACTAGAACCTTTTTCTTACCATTCCCTTCCCCTGGGGCTCAGAGCCTCTAGGCTTTTCCTTTCCCCCTACTTCCAGGCCTTTCCTTGGCCCTTAGCATGTTAGGATGTGGCCAGGAATCAGAAACGGATCCTTTTCCCAGCACTAGCTGTGTGCTGCATTCATGGAAAGTGGGAAGCTATACACAGGTATCCGTCTTGGGTACCAAGATTATCAGTTCCCATAGGGCTGGATCTCGGCTGGCTGGTAAACCAGTGGCGCTTCACTGCCCCAGGGTGGTTGGCCATCCTTCTGGATTTTTCCCCAGTGCGGCAACTGCCACCATTCAGGATGGCTCCCCACATCTGGCACGGCCACCATGAGTTCTAGGAGCCAACAGGGCTTCGTCCTCAGAACAGTGCTCGGGCAATCTTCCTCCCTTTGGCCTTGATCCTGGGAAAAGAACCCCCTCCTCCCTCACTTGGGGGAGTTCCCGAGGCAGAAGGGCCACTGGCACGGCCCAGTGTAGCAGTGGAGGGCCGTCGCCGCTGCCGCAGGAGGAAATCGAGTGAAGCTCCATCCATAGCGTAGAAGACGTTAGCCGAGGGGGGGATGGTCAGCTCTGTAGGTTCAGAAAGGGTGTCAAACACAAACACAGTCATTCCCCGCACAACCCCCCGGATGTGGACGCACTCTCCTCCAGAGTCTGCCCTCCCAGCCTCTGACCTCGCTCCCCTGGGAGCAGCTGCACTAGCTCATACTCTGAAGCCACCGCAGAATCACGATTGTTTTTCTTAAGGACACGACTGATGACACTTGGAGCCTTGTCCTGGCTGGTCACCTGGCAGGACAGTAGACCAAAAGAGCAATCAGTTGGCCATGATGACCTGTGCTTTCCATTTTTCCAACCCTAGCCAGTAATCCCAACCAGAAAAGGTTACCCGCACCCAAACTTTCAAGTGAAGAGGGAAACCCAACATGGTGGCTCCCTGTACTCCATCCGCCAGCCCACATAGTTGCTGGGCTGCTTCCTGCTTCCTCTGGGGAAACTGCTATTGGTTCTGAAAATCTAATACAGCCACCCAAAGTTCAAGGTGCACCAGCAAAGTAACCTTCAAAAGAAAACATGGTTGCTGGGCTTCCCTGGTGGCGCAGTGGTTGAGAGTCCGCCTGCTGATGCAGGGGATGCGGGTTCGTGCCCCGGTGTGGGAAGATCCCACATGCCGCGGAGCGGCTGGGCCTGTGAGCCATGGCCGCGAAGCCTGCGTGTCCAGAGCCTGTGCTCCGCAGCGGTAGAGGCCACGACAATGAGGGGCCCACGTACCGCAAAAAAAAAAAAAAACATGGTTGCTAAAACCAAAGGTCAATTAAAAGTAAAAACAGGGCTTCCCTGGTGGTGCAGTGGTTGAGAGTCCACCTGCCGATGCAGGGGACACGAGTTCATGCCCCGGTCCGGGAAGATCCCACATGCCGCGGAGCGGCTAGACCCGTGAGCTATGGCAGCTGAGCCTGCGCGTCCGGAGCCTGTGCTCCGCAACGGGAGAGGCCACAGCAGTGAGAGGCCCGCGTACCGCAAAAAAAAAAAAAAAAAAAAAAGTAAAATCATCCTCCCATTTGGCTATTGACATCTAAGACATCATCTATCTCTAGTCCCTCGGGGCACCATCCTTCACCCCACCTCCCAGCCCACAGCTCCCTCACCAAGATGCTCTTGTAGACACTGCCGTCTTCCCCCAGCTCCATCTGGACTCGGATGATGCGGCAATCAGAGGCCCCTGGCCCAGGCCCCCCTCCCCCATATCCAGGCCCCCTGGAGGCCCCTTCTGCACCCCCACTGAGCGGGGAGCCACAGGAGGCTGAGCGGCGGTGACCTCGAGAAGGCCTCGGGGAGGAAGCTGGGGGAGAGAGGTGGCTGGGGTCAGCGGGACTCTGCAGGGCTGGAGTGCTTTCCAGGGCGGAGTCCAGAGATGAGACAGACGGCCACTTCATGTGCTGGGGACAAACGACACAGGGAACTGGCACGAAGGCAGGGAGGTCAAGGAAGAAGGATTCACGAAGTCAGGGTCAGTGTTGAGGTCAGAGGTCAGGAGCGGAGCTCACCTGGGCCAGCCGGGTCAGCAGTGGAGCGGGGGTTGCAGGCACCTCCTCTGCCCCCACATTCGGCCAGTCCCAGGAGACAAGGGGTGTGGGACCTCCAACAGAACCCAGCACCCTGGAGTGGCAGGACATTGGGAAGGTCAGAGGGAGAAGGACAAGTCCCCAAGAGACCACCCTCCAACCACTGACTCCCTCACTCTGTCCACTGCGAGATGACAAGCGTTGGCCGAAGCACCCGCGGGGCAGGAGGGTCACTGCTACTGGATGGCTCCACCTCACAGGACACCTGATGGCTGGGGATGGGGGCAATGGGCAGAGGTCAGTGCATGACATACTGACCCCCACGCCCAGCCTGAGCCCTGGAGTCCCAACCGCACCCAGCCAGTCACCTCTGGGCCTCTGTCAGTGGCCGGAGCCCCTGTAGCCACCGCTGGATATCGGGGTCAGGTCGGAGGTCATAGCCACGACATTTGTTCTGGAGCTGCCTCAGCTCAGAAAGGACAGCAAACTCCTAGGAAGGAGCCCACAGACTGCAGGCGCCAAAATTCAGGAACCCCTGACTCTGCCCTCCTCTCCCCTTCCTGGGATGTAGCTAGGGACAGCTAGCATCCAGCCCAAATGCTCCCCTCACCTTCC